GCCCTTACTAAAATTTTTTCGAGCTCCATTTCAGAAATTCTAAGAGAGGTTCTAGAAGTTTTACCCAAAGATCTTAGGGCTGATTTTAGCTTCTGAAATTCCTCGTAAACATTTTGTTTTTTTTTTAGGTAAAAACCAGTCATTTTCACGATTTTGAACTGTAATCGGCTACAAAATATCACCGCGATTCGCTAATAAGTACTTTCAATTTGTGATCATTTTACTAACAATAAGAAGGAAAAGGCATGATATACTCAAATCTGTCAGCCAAACCAGAAGCGAATTCAACAAAAACTGATAAAAATGTTCAAAATTATTTCGCAAAATCATTACTTCAATTTGTGATCAATCCAAAACCTGGTGGAGAAATTTTTTCATATGTTGTCAGCCAAAGGATACAGCCTAAAATAAAAAATAGATTAAAAAAATACTCATAAGATACTCTGCCAACCGCAGTTTTACATTTTTACAGCCTGTGTCTTCCTCAAATATCATGGTTGAACCTTCATCTGCACAACAAGAGCCACAAGAGTCACAACAGGATAACTTTATGCCTGAAGGTAGGAAAAAATACTTTTTTGAAAATTTGAAAAAACAATAAACAGAATCTACAGTCGTCCAACCGCAACCGAGCAGCTCCTCCTCTTCTTACGATAGCCAGAAACAACGCAAAGTGTTTGCACGTGGAGTGAAGGTATTCAGAGTTTTTCCAGTTTTTTCAAAAAACTTCTAGAAAAAAATTATGGTAAATGAATTTAGGCACTTCTCAGAACTATCACTGGGGATGAAGATTATCTTCGTGAAACTGAAGGTTTTCGCAGATTGCGACGTGATACTGAGGCTGCATTCGATCCAAAATGCAATTCAGAGGCTTTGAAGGAGATTATTTTGAAGGTTGGCTACACTTCGGGTTTTTTATGAACTATTTTTATAAAATTGCAGAACATTGCTGATTCTACAGCCTTATCTAAACGCAAAATTCAAGAGACAGCAACCGATGAACTTGGTGGAAGGTAAGGTTTAAACCATTTTTTCGATCGCAAAAAACCAAAATTTTTTGCAGAATTGATGTCATCTGCTCATCAGGAACTTTCTCGTACATAGTAAACACTGAACTGTACTGTGAAACGGA